AATCTTGGAACTAACCTACTACAGCCGCGAGCGAGCTGAATGTCCGAGAGCTTCCGTCTTGCAACTTGCAGTTTGTGCAGTCCTTGTTCGAGGAATGTCCCCAAACGTCAATCGGCGGTAAAGATCCGTTTAATTAGGAATGTTTAGCGATATTCTATGCCTTGGATACGTGAAGGTCACAAATGCCTAGAAAAAAGTACTATGTTGAATCCGGCACGTGCCGCGGAATGAATAGCGCCTAGATAAGTGTTTGTCAAAACCAGACGCTGAAGCTGAGGCCCCCCGGAACATGACTGGTGACAAAGACTTTGCCATCAAACTGGATCCTTGTTGGTTGATGGAACTACAACAGGAGGATTATGTGTTACAGAAGTTGGCAGCCCAATCTTTCTAGGGAGGAGTGTTGAGTACGGCGAGGGAGTCAAATTATCAGAAAACTCGCACAGCAACTTCGATAGCTTGAGTATGAGATTCTGTCTGAACCAAACTTAGGCAGATTTTGATAACTACGCTCAAATGCACAGGAATTTTGTTTTGATACGAGATTTAGCCAAATCCACCGGAATTTAATGTGTTGATTTGTTCCAATTTAATGTGCTGTATGAGGCCGATGAATATTTCATTTAGCGCGATATATGGGGCACCACAATACCTTGTTTTTTGGTCAAATTTGCTGAAAATTCTCGGGCAGCCAACAACAGGTTAAGCCCGCTATTATGTTTACAGCGTAGGCGCATTACATGTGTTCCCGTCAACCTCACGTTCAACACACTACTTTGAAGACGACCATCTAAAAGAGGCATTCATTTTAGTCCCGTGTCATAACCGAACTGTGTGCAAAAGTAAGAATATTTGTCGAAATATTCCCACTCCAGTTATATAGTTAAATGACGAATGTACCTACGAAAATAGCGCGAGTAATATACCTTGTCCCATTGTCAGTAGATTTCGTCTTCGATACAAAACGGTTTGAAAATGTTTGAAGATGTATTTTCCAACGTCGATCTCAGTCGCGTGCAACTTTAGTCGGACATTTATTCCCGGTTTTGTGAGCTGCGCATTATCATTGTGCGCATCGATTTCCAAATAGTATGAATATGATGCACAGTGCTTACTTTCAGGGATGTGATCACCCAAAATGCCACGTGATATGGTTTTCCGCAGTTGAAGGATGTGTGGCGATTGATCATGCCTTAGGTGAACCTAATCACACTGCAGCCCAGCCCCTCGAGCCACCTGACCAATGCCACGTGAAAAAAACTGTACATAAATAGAATAAAGATAAACTACCTCGATGCAATTACAGATGATGATCTGATGATATTGGAATGATCTAGGGAAAACCAGGTGACGTCCAAGACTGATTATTCAGATGCATTTCTGTATTCATCTAGTTAAACATGGTAAGTAGTTTAAAATGTTTCACTTGTTATTTTGGGACCCTGCGCATGAAAAGCACAAGCTATTACCTTACTCACGGAATGTCAAATCCATGTTCAGGGACAAAACATTCTCGTATAAAATTGGAATCTCTTTCAGGAAGGTGATCACATTCACACAATTATCACCAACAACGCACTCATCAGCTTAGTGGCAGTAAGTAATTACCACTCATAGAAACACATACAATTTTAATCGGACATTAATTGTGGGTTTCGTGAAATCCGCATTGTTGATGATTGCCAAATAGAATGAAACTCTTTTGCAGTGCTTCAGCTTAGATTTGATTCACTGATAGGTCACAGAAAGGATAACTTCATTGAATTACGAGGGTGATTCGAGAAACCGAGCAAACCGGGACCACGCGATGTGGTTTCCCGTTTTTGAAGTGTGAGTGAAATTTTTGTGGGTTTCGCAGTTAGCGCTAATCATACTGCTGTTCAGCCACCCTTAGAGTGGCAAAACTGCTAGGCGGTTCGTCACGGGTAGGGTTCGAAACTACCCGGGATTTTGTGGGATGCGCTTTGCTGATGAATCCAAGTAAGGATAAAATGTCTTCAAAGTACTTCTCAGCTTTTGGGCAAAAACTGAATTTACTTTCTTCAACAAAATTTCTTAAGTTTCCTCATGTTATCAACAGATACCGGACTACGTATATATTTATTTGTGGGATGCCCAACCAGCTTAAACTCCCCATCTGAAGAGGGTACAACACGAATTGCATTCTTACATTGAATAGGGAATAAGTATACTAGTGGTTTGGGGACATGTTTTTGGCTTCCCTGGTTAACTTACTTCGCCGTTCGTCGTGAAAACAATTATGAAATTATTTCGTTGATGAACTAGTCCAGTTAAAGCTGAACGCAATTCGATACTTTCGATAACAATACGGGTTTGGTAAGCAGCTCGCACACGCTGCGTGGAATAGAGAAAGTAACTGTGAACCGGTATCACAAAACTATTGAGTGAAAACGTAGTGCAACGCACATGAAACTGAATACAAAATGTAACAAGCGGTTCCCTCCGACTGCGGCAATCCGTGTGCCCTTTGTAGTTGCTGCGTTGTTGCATCCAGGATGGTAGTGTTGAAAGTTACCGCCGAACCACTCGTCCACCATTGGGACCTCCTCTAGCCATTGATTGAACGAAGCCGTTGGGATCGTTCCGAAATATCTTGTAGACTTCGTTAACCTCCACGAACCTGTTACACAAATCGAAAATTTCATAATCAGTCTGCTAGATGAGGCTAGACAATGACATTGTGCTCCTTACAGTAAAAATCTCGCACTACGTTCTCACCGCGAATATCTTAATTTAGATCACCAGAGGACAACTTACGAATTACGAATATTGTTAATATCTATAAATCCACCTCTAAGTATGGTAGAACTGTACACACTTGCTACGTGCCAAGTGAGAGAAGGCTGGTTTGACTGGACCCTGGTTTACAAGTGTTGGAAAATAGAATAATTCGGTCATTTTTATCAAATTCATGATCGTCAGCATCTTCACCATCCAAGCCTGCGAAGCATCAGTGTTCGCCGATGGGGCTTCGTTGCCGTACAACCCGTTTCTGATAGGCGAACGTTTGTGAAGTGAGTAATAAACGTGAATAGACATGGATACAGTCCTAGTCTACCACAATCATTTGAGGATGCCTTAACCTCCAGACACCAATTCATAAACTCTGGAAGGAAACTGGCAAGAAGGAAAGCCAATGAGCTGAACGCCATAAGTGCAATGAACGTTGTATCATGCAGTCTTCAAAGAGACTTTCTCGTCAGTTGGCTCCGAAAGAATTCCAAAAAATTGCAACCGTTTTGTGAGGTTTTGAGGATGCGACTAAATGCCCTCAATTTCTCACTCTTTTTAGAATACTTTCCGTTTCGGAGATTTTCGGGTGGGCATATAGGGGATGGTAATTCTTACCGCTCACTCAGGTGCTGAGATGCTTGGTGGCATTCGTTGGACCAATTTTTGTGCACTCTTGTGAAGTAAATTCTAATTTCATACAAGAACGTTTTGGCTGTGGACGTGGTTTCAACGTTCTGCGAATTTACCAGCTTATGGTATTCTATGCTTGCTATCAAAACTAAATCCCTATAAACTAGTAACCGGGCTTGAGTAGGCGAACAAAAGGATGTGCTTGAATATACAGTCTTGGACGTCATCTGGTTTACCCCAGATCTTCTAACATTTTCAGATCTACACCTGTGATTCTAACGAGATAAGTTAATACAGTGCAATAGTTAGAGGTTTTTCGCTTTATCCTAGAATGAGATTCACTCCGACATGCACAGGCTGCCCGAAGTTTAAATCTGACGATCATTTTTGCACAACCCAACTCTGGTTTTCTAATTGTCTCGTGCTAGAATCACCGACATCAGTTTACGTCAAGTTTGGTTATGAGATAGCGTTTATCGGGGGCCACACACGTCGCTGATTTGCGTAGGAAATTCGTCATGAACGAAGAAACTGATTTAGAATGGATGGTGGAACCTCCATTATCCTGAAGATAGTGAAATGAAAAACAAAAAGATTACTTTCGTGCTTGAAAGAACAAGTGCGTCTGTCGAGAGACAACTTAAACTCCTGGATGAATAAGCTCTCGCTTTTCCTGAAATGTGCTAATGTTCATGGTGTTTTATACAATCACAGCGGATGACGCAGTAGCTTCTGAGAAAATTATTCAATGGATCATTAATTAAATGAGAGTATGATTGAAGATTAAGCTTTCCAATCGTGCGTTTTCTAAATGTGTGATGGAATGGGGCGGATTTTAGTTACTTTGTAGCACAAATGTGGACCTTGGTTTGAACAAGTGCCGTTACCAAACAAAAAATGTCCATATTTACAAAGGCCTATAGTTCACCTCATCACCGAAGTTCATCAAGTCACTGAACTTTGTCCACCCTTCCACTGCCAAAATGTTGCATGATACATTGGGAAGTGATCTTTTCTAGCCACTTTAAGGTGCGTCTCTTGCGTCCTAGTAGTAAGGTACTCGAGTTATGCCAAGATACTTACTGCCCATAATCCACGCAACGCTTCAATGTTCCAGAATGCGCTACAGTTTGTAACCCCATGGCAACATATGCAGTTATAGTCATTTTTTCTTTAAAGAAAGGTCAACATAGAGAACAAGAAAACCGGTTCCGTAAAACGCTCATTATCAATTTAAAATGGTGTTGACATGAAACTCGGTTGAGTTTTTGCTTGACGACGCGGTTCAATTGAACCTGCCACACTGTGTCAGCGTGTGTCAGATATGCCAGCGGTTTCAACTCAACTATATAAGCACCTGCTACAAAACCGTCCGCATTGTCTATGTATTTGGCAGGTTTTATTCAATCTACTTACATTCGAGTCGGAGAAATTCTATCAAATATATTCGCAACAAAACGGTTGAGTTCGCAATACTGGGGCATTCATTCCGCCTGGTACATTTGAAATCTTGTAGGGATTGTGAACCCGGCGCATTCTTTGTTAACCATTGTTTCCTTTTGTTATATCTTGGCGCGCTTCTTCTATACCAGTTCCATATTATCATTTTTTCCCAGGACAGCTTTTCCAAACCGGAGGCACATTGGCTATCCGATGACCCGTCTTTCCCAGGCTTGTTCGTCATGGATGAGATCATTGGACCGTTCCTACATCATTTAGTTGATATGTGCCCTCTAATTTTGACCACATATTTCTTAATGCAAGCGAAATACCGTGAACCCTAGTCTGCCAATGTCGACAATATTTTCCTGATTATATAGAGTGCGCATTTTTGGTTCTTAGTAAGGATGAAATAGGTTTACACTGCATCTCAGCCTTTCGACATAGACTGCTTTCGCTTACAGAAAGAAATTTCCACTAAAATTCCTGAGTTTTTCATGTTATCAGCAACTGGGTACGGCAGCTAACCACAGTACAGTTGTGTAACAAGCGAAGGGTGTCTGACACCAAATACATAATCACCAGAAGGTAATATCCGTGGTTTTGTGATAACCGAAATCATTTTTTCGTCACTGTGTTCTTCTGGATTTCAAAGAATTCAGTTGATGTCTGGATACCCAACACATCAAACCCACAGCTAATATGACATTCACAGTACGACAAATCCATGCCAGGACGAAGCCAAATCTGCTGTGATATGCTGAACGTGCTTTGTCAAGTTGAAGATGCGATTGAACGTTTGCTGAATTATTACTAGTAATTAACGTTCAGGGCATAAACAGCTATAGTGGCATAGCCACAAGACGGGAGGGAAAACACGCGATAATTTACTGCACAACGAGAACATTAGAGCCAATTAAACAATTGGTTTCGAATTGTAATATGCATCCATCTAGTAAGCGAAAACTATGAAACAAGGTGGATCTTTATTTCATCCGTAGAAAATTGCTTTCGGACGTTTAAGATAGCTAAGGTGGATAATGTTGTGCATAAGCCTCGTAATTAGTGACTGTGTATCAATTCCAGCTTCGGAAGCTGAACTAATCCAGTCTAGACATGGACAACCCGGCGACTGGTCAGCCCTTGTGATTCCCTCGTGCACTATGGCGGCTGAATACCAAAACGGTGCTGTGGCTGAAATATCACTATTAATATTATATTCCTAATAATAGAACTGTTTCCTCGTCACTTTGAAATTCAGTAGTTTATCTTCAACTGGAAAGCTGCAGAAAGTGGACGCGTGCATCTGTTAAGATAAACTTGACAGAGCATACATGACATTACAAGCATTTGCCATTGCATTTTATTTGACCGGTCCAACACTGAAAATACATCGAGACATTGTAAGCTCGGGTAATCGAGTGGCTGCTGATCTGCTCGCGAAGCTCCACAGTCAGATTGCAAATGTTCCAGTAGACATTGGCCTCCCGCGGTAATGATGCTTACTACGCTGATGACAGTGAACCGTTTGTAAACTTACTGTCAGGCCGAGCATACTGGTTAGCAGACAATTGATAGACAGTCCATAACGGTTCAACTCTGGTTGTTCCACATTCATCAGAGGCTTATGTTAGCCGTCCTTCTTTTGGACGGTCCCCCGAAAAGGGTCATTGACGATCAGTGATTTGTCCATTTGCAGGAAGCGTATACAAGTGCGAACTACGTTTGACCGAAAGACACCGAGTAACCCCCAAATTAAAATTTAATCCTGACGGCCTAGTTTAAGAAGATTGAGCACACCAGGAGAGGCCAGCTGAACTTCAAGAGAATCACAACAGTTTCTGATTCTAAATTTGTAATTTCATCTTATGACTATTGGCGTTAGGTTATCTCACAATCACTGATTATATTTCTGGTGGTATTTTAGTGTAATAACACTACTTTGTTTGAATAGTTTTCATGAATTACGCAGCCAAAAGCGCGCCCTAACTGATCGCATGCAGATGGACAAAATGACTTTTTTGATGTGGCCCAGGTTTGGCAGTTACGATAACCATGCTCAAGGTCCAATCATGGAAGTGTACCTTGCTCGGAACATCTGTCAGTTAAGTACTTCTCATATTCTGAGGCCCTTATTCATGGAGCTGGATCTTACCTGCCGGGCAGCGGCATTAATATTTTCAGCCGACCAACTGTTTGTTCTTCAAAAAATTGCAGCTTTTATTCTTCCTGGATATTAGTGAGATCCGATGTTTGGGAGCGCTTCTCGGCTTGGCAGTACAGAAAGGCTTGGGAGATTAAAGGAAATATCTATTTGAACGGGTCCAAACTTTTCATTCTACTAACCATCCATAAGCAGATCAGAGGAGTAACAGTTTCACAAGATGCTTGAATGTACTTTCTGAGATGCCGTCCCACTTACCTGGTTATTCAGTCGACAAATCAAGGAGCGACAACCAGACTGATTTAATGAAGGGTTTTCTCTAATAAAAACAACAGATTGCTTAATACACAGCTTTGAAATTTTCCGCATCCGCACTAAGCAGATTGACACAAAAAGTTTTGTTTGAAGGAATGCATAACATTCACTGACGCGATACACCATAGTGTCGTGTGTGAACTGAGTTTCAGATGCCCCGACCTCAGAATCCCAACAGCCAGATCAACTCGGTCAGTTTGTGACGTGTAAAGTATACAATGAGTTATATTAGTAAAAGAAAAATTCGATCACCAGAATACTAACCCAGTGCGATTGCATGAAGCGTCTGGTCGTTTCTATCTCTAATTTTTACGGGGAAATCACTTCAGTGCGTAAACGATGCGACATTCGACGGTGCTTGAGGGAACTTAATGCTCAAAATTTTATGTCGTATCACTAAAGGTCAAAGTTGCTCAATGAACCACTGTTCTGTGATAATCTGAGACCCCAAAACGTCTTCTCCGACCACCAAATATTCTTGCTAAGAGTTTGCTCATTAATTAGTCATCAGCCATTCAGACTCGTCCGATAGTCAATTTAGGAACACCAGCTTTTAATGTCTCTCAATTGATGTTTGAATGTGTTAATGACTTTGATCAGATGTAGTTGTCAGCGAGCGCGTCGTGAAAAGCACCAGATTGCCAATTCACTCTAAACTGCTAGCAACTAGCATGCAGATAGGTATGTAATACTTTGTCCTGTTTAATTCTCACTCGATTATGACGGAAGTGCCGGCCAGTTTTGCGACCAGTGCTGACTGTGACGATTATGGCGACCCAAATCTAAAGGAAACCTCCTCAGAGGTTTATTTCCTCACATGTAGTCCATGAAACTTGAAAAAACGCCGGAGTCTCATCATTGAACGTGTCTAGTAGCGTGGTTGATGTGAGCTGATATTTCAGGAACCGCCCCAATCCAGCGCCTTAGTGTCGGAAAACAACTGATTAATAAAGAACACATAGAACAAGCGGGTGCAAAAATTGCAAGTAGGACCGCGCAATTTTGACCTTGAAGCTATAATTTGCATTGGCGTCGGGTGGAACATATCATCGACTGACTATGCTGGATTGCCTCGGTGTCCAATCAGCAACGAGCTAATTTGGCTCTCCTGACGTCTACTCTGTTGCGATTTTCATATCCCTTAAGGGTCTCAGTATGTTACGGGCATTATGCAGTGAATTCATCAGCTGCATGAAACCCTCCGGGTCCAAAGAAGAGATCCATGTTTGTCCTAAAAAAACCACAGGTTGCAAATGTGAACAGATTGCTGTATGAACTTTGCACGAATGATTAGTCTTGAAACAGGCTGATCAAAACATCCCATCATGCCCTGATTAGCGTGGACTTTGTATCGCGAACCAATTAGATTTGTAGTGGAAAATTTTCTGCACTGGCGCCATATATGCGTAAGGCAAAGTTCCACCCACAAGAGGCGCACAGTATAAAATCCCACGCACATGAAACTTCAAGTGAGACTGGATAGGATGCGCCATTTTCCGCTTCTCATTGCACTACTGTTCTCCCTCGTCCATGTTACACCGTTGGAAGCCGTCGGATTCCAAAATTGGTCATCCATATTTAAAAATAATCCCTCAAAGAACTGGGTTATCCTTGCCGCTGGTTCCAACTCCTGGATAAATTATCAACATTAAGTACGTTTCAGTTGGTTGATCATTGGTTTGAGTCTCAAAAGTGTTTCTAAATCCTGAAAGAAAGTGTCTTAAAATTGGCAGTTTGCAGTGGTAATACTTCAAACAGCAGAGTCCAACAAATGGAAGCATCTTAGTGAGGTTGTTCGATTTTCACTGTATTACCTAGACATGCGACGATATTCCGCTTTGTGTGGAGTCGATTTTCCATACTAGAGAAAGCCTCCGCCTTACCGTAACCCAAGGTTACCTGATCAATAAGCCGGGGATAAGAAATCTCAAAAATGTCCAGTGACGTTAGGTCTTAATTGGGTATACGCCGGTCAAGCCGCGTTACCAAGTATGGTGGCGCGCTAAATAATCGTATCATGGGTTGGCTGCTCGTAGATAAGCTATTCATCTTGGAAGTAATGTTCGGATGTTAGCGAAATTTAGTCTCTCGGGAGAATCATGAAATGCGCACTACAGATAATTATCAATAGGAATGAATCAGTTGTGCAGTGAAACTGGATGTTTTGACTGAGCTCGTCGTCTATTACGGAATAAAATCTTGATCGAAGTAACCCAAAAATGCTATAAATCTCTCAGCATCAGGCTGTCGGTGGTTTCTATCCTCTTCACAGTAGCCCGATATCTGATTGGTTAGCTCAGGTGTCCAAATTCAAGCCAATAATTACGAGAATCACAGGTGGGATTGTAACAATCAAATGTTTGGACTATGGTATGTCATCAAAATGCAGTTGGAAGAACTGAAACTGCATCAAATATGGATGATTCTAAACACTCTGCCTGTCTTCTCTTGTCTCTAGGCCTCACTCCGCTTGTTATCCTTTATTCAACCTTTCTTTAGGCGAACCTTTGCCACACGGACCAAGTTGTGGGTTCAAACAAAGATCCAGCGGAGAATATAATTACCATCGCCTACTACGATATTGCAAACAATCCTGGATAAATTTCGAGTGCATTTTTAACACCTGATAGTAACTAGACTGTAGAAAATGCTCTTCGTTGTTTGCTCACATTGAGCATAATTGTCCTGAATATAATGGATGGAATCGGGTTGCAGCAAATTTTGGGTTTTGCGCGTCACCTCAGATATACCATGAATTTTCCTTTCTTTCAAGCCTTTCCATGACAGTAAGCGCATTAGCATCAGCACAATCTATACTGAATCACATGCCAGTCATTGTGGTATACCGTGGCTAGTGAACTGCACGTTTTAACCACGCTTTGTTAGTTAGTAAGCTGAAATTAATGAGATCAATATCTAAATATCGTTTGAGAGAATCAATTGGCTGATGACTTGGAGCAACTATTAATTAGGCAATGTAGTATTCATATCGCTT